ATTCACAGATTACAAACATACTAGATTAAAATATAATACTGCCCAAAACAATACAGGTATACTGGTATACAGAAATAGAACTACTTCAATAGTTCAATAATAATAATATTATGTAATGGCAYGAAAATAAAATATTTCAAAGACTAATTAATATATTTTTGCTTATATTGTCTTTGGTATTTCTAACATAGCCCTTTCTCTCTCGCACATATCTTTGATTCACGGATCTCTCTCTATGCGCGGTCCATTCTTTTATAGGTCTATGGGATATACTGACTTACAAAATGTTACCGGAAAACTGATAACGATTGACTATGAGTGGCGRTGTCAACATGTGAATTATCAAAAATTTTGGAATTGTTTGAATTTGAATTTTGAGTAATTAAATTTCTTCGAACGTTCTGTTTGTGGTCGCTGTTGGTTTTATTCAACAATTTTGAATATAATAATATTTCATACCTAACATTTCTGGTCCCGCCTTAGGTAGTCATTTTTTTTTGGAACGTCAACAATGGATTCAACACAGTTTTTGGTTGTCTCAGGCAACAGATCCAATGGCATACCATCGACAAACGGACCCAGACTAGGATCACTGAAACACTCAAATTCTAAAGTCGTCACTCCGGCATTCATGTTTTACACCAAAGTAAAAAAGGCCAATCTATTAAATTAATTTGTATATATATTTTTGGTTTGATTTTTATAGTATGGAAGTGTGCCATACATATCGAGAGAAGTGTTCGAAAAAATTGTGCCTGATGATCAGGCATTGTTCAATTTCCCATTACCAACATGTCTGAATTTCTACCAGCCATTAAAAGAGTTTAAACGCGGTCTTAACTCATTTGTTGGTCTTGAGGTATATTTTAATTAATTAATTAGTTACACTGCTCACTAATATTTTTTTTCGATACACATGCAAATAACTAGGATATGTTGTTGCACTGCAATTATAATTATACATTCATGTATTGTTGCTTAGAGTTTTTATTATTTAGACATTCAAAATTAATGATCTAAATTTTGATTTAATTTTGAATCTCAATTTCAACAATTTTTGTAATTTTAATAAATTATTCGACTCAGGGTATGAGCAGAGGTGGTTTGACATTTTGACAATTATATTTTTCTGCAGGAATTTTAATAGTTGTAATCACCCACTCATAGTTATTGCTTTACCACAAAAAAAAAAATAAAAAACTACTGATTAAATTACACAATTGAATAATGTTTGGAATTTCAGTCTTATACTAACAATTTTGTAGTAAAAAAAAATGTATAAAACCTGAATATTATGGCTAATTATAAAATTGTAATGTATTAATTTAATACTACCTACTCCATAGAGAGTATTTTATTAAATTTTATTA